TAGGCACAGCAGGGCAAGGTTAAGGCTCATATGAATGGAAAGAATGCCAAGGGTCTGGCTTCAGGCATAGCTGGATCCAGGTAGTCAGTTGTCCTGTGTCACTCCTGGCCTGTCTCCTCTCAGCTGTTTCCACTCTATGTTGGTTCTTTTCTTCTGCACACAGCCTTTCTCCATGCAGCCAGGGAAGACAGTTGCAGACAGATTAGTAGGTCCAGCGGAAAAAGAGCCTTCCTTTCCCAGTGTTCACGTGTCATTTCTTTTCTTTTATTAATTATGCTATCACAGTCTTCCCAATTTTCCTCCTTTTCCCCCTTCCGCCCTGCACCCCCCAACCCTCCAGCATTCCCCCTCCCTTAGCTGATGCCCATGGGTTGTACATATAAGTTCTTTGAGTTCTGTTTCCTATACCATTTTTGACCTCTCCCTGTCTATTTTATGCCTACCAATTATGCTTCTTCCCTGTACCTCCCCCCCATTCCTCCCTTCCCCCTCCCCACTGAAAACCCTCCATGTGATCTCCATTTTTCTGATTCTGTTCCTGTTCTAGTTGTTTGCTTACTTTTTGGTTTCATTTTCTTTTTCTTTTTTTCAGGTTCATTTGTTGATAGTTGTGAGTTTGTTGTCATTTTACTGTTCATGTTTTTTATCTTCTTTTACTTAGATATGACCCTTTAACATTTCATGTAATAATGGCTTGGTGATGATAAAATCCTTTAACTTGACCTTATTTGGGAAGCCCTTTATCTGCCCTCCCATTCCAAATGAAAGCTTTGCTGGATAGAGCAATCTTGAATGTAGGTCCTTGCCTTTCATGACTTGGAATACTTTCCAGCCCCTGCTTGCCTGCAAGATTTCTTTTGAGAAATCAGCTGATAGACTAATGGGAACTCCTTTATAGTTAACTCTCTCCTTTCCTCTTGCTTCTTTTAGGATTCTCTCTTTATATTTAATCTTGGGTAACTTGATGAAATGTGCCTTGATATGTTCCTCTTCGGGTCCAACTTCTTTGGGAGACTCTGAGCTTCCTGGACTTCCTGGAAGTCTATTTCCTTCACCAGATGGGGGAAGTTCTCCTTCATTATTTGTTCAAATAAGTTTTCAATTTTTTGCTGCTGTTGTTCTCCTCCTGGCACCCCTATGATTCGGATATTGGAATGTTTCAAGTTGTCCCAAAGGTTCCTAAGCCTCTCCTCATTTTTCTGAATTCTTGTTTCTTCATTCTGTTCCAGTTGGATGTTGATTTCTTCCTTTTGTTCCAAATTGTTGATTTGAGTCCTAGTTTCCTTCCTGTCACTGTTGGTTCCCTGAATAGTTTGCTTTATTGCATTTGGGGTATCTTTCATTTGTTTTTTCGTTTTGAGACCAAGCTCCATCAGTTCTGTGAGCATTTTGCTTACCAGGGCTCTGAACTCTCCATCAGACAGGTTAGCTGTCTCCTTACCACTTAGCTCTCTTTCTGGAGTTTTGCTCTGTTCTTTCATTTGGGCCATATTTCTTTATTTGGCGCACCTGTTAAGCTGTAAGGGGGTGGGGCAAACCTCCCGGCTGTGCTGCCTGTGGGGGAGGGGCCAGAGAGGGAGGCTCCCCTGCTGGGCTCCAGCCCACTTTCACACGGACTCTCGCGTGAGACTGGCAGTTTCTCCCCCTGCGGCAGCCGCCGTGGCCCACAGCCCACTCTGAGTCTCAGTTTCCCCTAAGTCAGCCCTGCCCGCCTGGTCTGCCACCTGGCCGCAGGTTCCCTCTGCCTGCCGCCTTACCAGTTCTGTTTGACTGTTTCAATTCCTTGGTTGTCAGAGTTCCGTGCAGTTTGCTTTTCTGGCACTTCTGGTTGTTTACTGATTTTAGGCTGGTTGTTGTCCTCCTTGTGGTTGTGCGAGGAAGCGAAGGGTTTCTGTCCACCTCAGCCAGAACTCCTCCACATCATTTCTGGAGAGACTCTGACACACACTTGGATCTTGAACTTGCCCTTGGGATCCATCGTTGATGCCGGGAGGATAAGATACTATAGTCAGCCGAGCCTGGGTCAGAAGTGGGTAAGGTCCCAGGAGTTATCGCCCCTCTACACCCACAACGAACACGGGAGGGACCCCGGGCCTACAGAAGCCGCCCACGTTCCCCGAGAAGCTCAAGGAGCCGCTGAGACCATCACCAAGGCCCACGGGCTGCGGCTAGATTTCCACTGCCCTCCCACCCACCTCTTGCGTTTCCTGACTCTCTCTCCTCCAAACCCCTCCCTCCCCATGAGACATTGGTGGTGTGGACAGTCCCCCCACCCCCACCCCCGAACCCCCGAGACTCACGAGGTGTGTTTTTCTCCACAGCCTTTCTGACCGCTGTGCTGCAAGACTACGGAAGGTCCCAAGGACTCTCGATGGACACCCTCACTTTCACCCACCACGTGGTCTCCGACACCACCGAGTACAATGAGAAGGAGCTCTCCATCATCACGCAGAAGCAGCTCAACATTGTCAGGAAAGCCTTCAAGGTACGGGGCTGCTGAAGAGACGGGATCACTCACTCATGCATTCGTCACTCATTCCCTCACTCCTTCGCTCAAGCAAGCAGCCGTCACTTCCTCAGCAGACCTTCACCGGGCCCTGGGCGTGGGCCGGGCCCTGCGGCCGGGCCCTGGACAGGCAGCACCCACAGGGCGCAGTCCCCGTTTGATCCCAGATGCCATCAGACTTCCTCTCCCACTCTTCCCCGGGGGACAGAGACAGTTAAACAGGGCGTGGCAGAAGCGAGGTCAGTTATGCGCACCCAAAACACAGTTCATTCGTGTATTCCTGCTACGCACCTTAGAACCGGGGGAAACCTGCCCAGCACAGGGGTGGTCCCTCCCTGGGCTGGAAGGGGAGCGGCCCGCCCCCTCCGCGCCCGTCCCCGGGGCAGCTTCTGTCACGGGCGGGGTGCGGCTGCCCGGGACCCCCTGACGGCACCCCTCTTGACCTTAGGCCAGGGACTCCATGCACATCGGCGTCCACGTGTTCGGCTTATTCATCGAGGGGGCGAGGTGGAACCACAGGGAAAAAGTCCTGGAAGACTCGCTGCCTCGCGAGCTGTGCTGTGATTTTCCTGACATTCACTTCCTGCCCACCAAGGTAAGCGCCCGAGAGTCCGTCGCCAAGTCTGGAGCCTCCGCGCTCTCCCAGCCACACAAGCGCCCCTTCCAGTCCCACGCCCTGTGGCCTCACCGGGGAAAGCTGGTGATGCGCTCCAGAGAGAGAACATCCGAAAGAGCCCCAAGTACTGCTCAAGTCTCAAGGAGATGCTAGACCAGCGTCCAGCGTTGTTTCTCAAGAACACAGACTAAGCCTTGGCTGGCGTAGCTCAGTGGATTGAGCGCGGGCTGTGAACCAAAGCATCGCAGGTTCGATTCCCAGTCAGGGCATGTGCCTGGGTTGCAGGCCACGGCCCCCAGCAACCGCACATTGATGTTTCTCTCTCTCTCTCTCTTTCTCCCTCCCTTCCCTCTCTAAAAACAAATAAATCTTAAAGAAAAAAAAACACAAACTAGAAAGCCCTGGTAAGTTCTCTTTAAAATTACATCCTCCTTTCAGAGGCCCGCCTCTGAAAGCAGGTACACGTAGAAGTTATGCCTGACGGTACGTGTGTGAATTCTCCGCACACCCCTCAGGTCTAGCACACAGCAGACGTGAGCGGCTGGCGTGTTTGAACTAAACGATATAACAACTATTGAATTTCTTTTTTTAAGATTTCCACCGACACACCGGACCCGTCTCACCAGACAGATTCGGAACTCTATACTTTTGAATGCCCGGTTTATCAGACGCCTGAGCGGTTAAGGACTTTGACAAGTGCCGGCTTGCCCTCGAATTTGTTGACGTGGGTGTGTCTGCCCACGAAGAAACCACCCAGTCACTGGGTCACCATGCAGGCTGCGTTGCTGTGTGAGAAGAACGAGCAATAGACTCGCGTCCCAGCCCACCGGGTGTCGGACTGCAACCAGATTTGCGTCTCAAGACACGCACGTGTAGCCGCAGCCCCCATAAAAGCCGTTGTGTGTTCAGCCAGGCGCAGTGTGTTTCCTCCGCCGTCCGAGAGCACGTCAGCACGCGGGGGACCTTCCGGCTGCTTTTCCGAGCAACGGCTCTGCGTCCGGGCTGCACTGCAGGTGAGTGGGCACGTCCTGGGCTGCGGCCAGCAGGTACCAGGGCGTGTTTCTGCGAACTTCTTGGCTCCGAAGAGCGGCAGACAGTAACACACATGCGTGGAGGGTGGCTCAGGGGGACACTTCCCAACGCGGGGGCCTCACTGCAGACTCCTGGGCGAGGGCGGCCTTCCCTCCCAGCACAGTCTCGCTCTGGCCCCTCCCCCACTGAAGAGCCAACCCTGAGCGTTCAGCAAATGGGATTAGTGCGCAGGCGCGTTTCTGGAAGCAGGGTGTTCATTCTTGAGCCCTACGCTGAGCACGCGCGAGGATGCCTGCATAGCTCTGAGACCACCTCCGTCCAGTGTGTCAATCCATCCGGTATGTGTGTGTCACACCTGCCACGTTTCACACACGGGGAGGCTGGTGACCCCGTACCCCCCGGAACTAGAGTCCATGACAGCCATGGGCAAAACAGTAACGTCTGCTTGCTGTTCTGTCTAGGAAATCGTACTGTCGTAAAGTAACATTAAGTGTACACAATGTTACAGAAAAGCATTGTAAGGGCCTAGTCCCTGTCATTTAGGAATTAGTATGAAAATGATAAAGTATAGGATTTTAACGAAAGACAAAAGGTGGGAGATCTTATTTGGCCCAGTTCATGTGCTGAAATAGTTTTAGGAATTGTCCACGATTGGCTAGAATGGGCCATGATTTCTGGAACCCACCAACACACACAGCCTTTCATAAGAAACTAAAGGCCGCGTTGGCGAGGGGTCCCGCTGGTCTTCGGGCTTCCCTGGGGCCCCGGGGGCACAAACGGAGGGCCCGGGAGCAGCAGGGCAAGGAAAGAGTCACGCACAAAGGAAAAAGCGAGGCTCCACAGTGATCAGAGGACAACTCTTTATTCCCAGCATTTCCAACTTAAAACTTCAGTATAAAACCTGTCAAAGATAAAACACAAATTGTAGCTGCTCACAGCCCCCTTTCTCACCACTGGGGGGAGAGTGCAGTGTCCATCTTCCTCCCCACAGCTCCTGGGGCGGGCCCAGGCCACAGGCTCACCAGACAGTGTCACAGACTACAGGGCGCAGGCGCCGCAGGGCAGGGGCTGCGTCGCACACTGCAGATTGCAGGGCGGAGGGCGCCGCGGGCGCAGATGGCTCGTGCAGAACAGGCGTAATTAAATGCACAGTTGATTAGATCCCCAGACGCGTAAGGTACTGACCGCTGAAATTTGATCACCAAAGGCTGCTGGACTTGCTTTCCATTATAGAGTAATGAATGATGAGACTCTTATCAACTTAACTACAACTTAACAGCTAACACTACCTTATGCATATCTATTAAACTAAACAGGATTTAGAGAGAGGATTTTAAACTATTCCTTTAAACTGATTTTGGATAAACACACTCCTTCACAGAATTTTGTAACTAGAAACACAGTATAAACTGCATGAGCGCGACAGTAGCAAAAACAGCTTAATTAAAAAAGTCAAAAATATATAAAAATATTAGCCTGAAATGGCAAATTTTCAACCACCAACCTGGTAAAAATGTTTAAATAGGGATGTTACTGCAAAAATATATATCTTTTTTTCTATCTGCAACAGTTTATAAAGGCAAACACACACCTGCAATTGAGGTAGAAAAAAGCCAAATTTGCAAACTTTGGATTAAGAAAAATATCCTTCCTATATCTTAATAGCATCTTTTATATAATAGTAAATGAATTCTAATTGTTTCAAAAATTCTAATTCACATGTAGTACTTTACAAAATTTAATTTAAAATACTGCAAATGTTTTTGTTAGATGTTCAGCCCTGGCAATTATTTCACATTCAAAGAACTGTACAAAAAACACTGAAGTCACCATATATTACATAAAAGCTATATACATTTACACTTTCAAACACAGTTCAGAAGTTCAGGTTCAGCCAACTACTGCCAATGGTCTTGCCAGAACAGTGCCGCTAATGCACTCTCACCCCGTTTCTGACCTAGCATTTGACGCCAGTCACATGACTAGTTAATGCGTCAATTTCAAGGAAACATGAAAATTCTCCTACTGCCAGAAAACATAATGCACTTGAACTGTAACAGTGTTTTCACTTAAGAAGAACCAACTGATAAAAAGATCCGAAGTATTTTTCTCAGGGCCTTGATCAGACTTTTCAGGACTGAAAATTTCCTGTTAGAATGCAAAGTCAAACACCTCTAGGATTTTTCCTGATGTTAATTATGATGACTTAATTAAAATAAACACGGCGATAGGAAGACACTCCGGGCTCCACAGTCCTGACTCTCACGCACATGAAACCTCGAGGCACTCTCAGTGCAGCGAAGGAAAGTTTGCTGGGGCTTTTTCTCCCGGGCGCACCCGGGGGAGCGCAGCCGGCGGAGGGTCAGTAGACGTAGGGGAGGATGCGGTAGGGCACGCGCTGGCAGTAGTGGTCCCAGGCCACGCCGTATTTCTTCCTGCACTGGCGCTCGTCGCGAGCTTCGCGGTGCACAAGCAGCACGGCGAAGTAAATCACGTAGAAATACGGCAGAATGTGGTTAAAGCCTGTGGGGAACGGTAGGAAGCACTATTAGGTGTTTCGATTTCCACTGCTACTCAATATGCACTAGTTCCTGCTTTTCCCCAAACGCTCTAAGAGGACCGTAAGGTTTTCCCCAAACGCTCTAAGAGGACCATAAGGTGCCTGCGTTTTCTTCAATGACGGGGAAAACCCGGCCAGTTCCGGAAACCCCACCGGTGCGTGGCAGAGGCTGTACTGAGTGAAAAGTGTGATTAATCCTTTCTAACAACTCACTGCGAACACCCGTCCTCATACTTGGGGCAGATGCGCTCAGTGAGCAGCTGGGGGGGGGGGGGGCGGGGCCAAGCAGGGAGGGGCGGCCGAGCAAGGCTGCTATGCAACAGAGCCCCCTGTCGGCACCTCGGGAGGGCCCGGTGTCTCAGGATGGGGGCACACCGAGTCTCGAGGAAAAAGCACCATTGAGTCCATATATCCGCTTAGCAAAATGCACGAGGCACAGTTTCAAACTTAAAATTCTGCTTTTAGAAGGTTCGAGTGAAACGTCAGGCTCTGTGAGCCGCTGATTCCTGGCAGAGGCCAGATGCACGAGGGGCTGCACGTCCGCCGTCAGGAGGACCTCGGGCAGGCGGCCCCCCGCACCACCGGCGCTGCCCATGGTGTCCCCACACACTGTGTGGGCAGCCGGACTTACCACACGGGAGGGACCACGCCAGAGCCATGATGAGGTCACCCAGGTAATTGGGGTGGCGGACCAGGCCCCACCAGCCAGACACCAGGAGGTTTTTTCCCGTGGAAGTGTGAATAGTTTTTAAATCTGCATAAAAACAAATACGTCTGCTGATATGTAGACAAGTAGAGGCAGAAAATCTTTATTCAGCCCTGGCTGGTGCGGCTCAGTAGTAGGAGCACCACCCTGCGAACCAAAGGGTCGCTGGTTTGATTCCCAGTCAGGGCACATGCCTAGGATGTGGGCCGGGTCCCCGGTTGGGGCCTGTGAGAGGCAACCACACCCTGGTGCTCCTCTCTCTCTCTCTCTCTCTCTCTGCCTCCCTCCCCCTTTGCAATATAAATAATATGAAACCAACACTTACGCGCGAGCCGTGGATCAGTGGGGTTTTTCCGGAATGCATTTTTCTGAGCATTTGCACATCGGAAGACTACATAGCCACAAACTGCAAGTTTTTAAGAATTTCATGTTAGCAATTTAGATATAATCTAATGTTTAAAGGCATCTGTAGCTTCACTTAGAAGTTATTTCTGAGCTCTGAGGACATTTCCAAAGTAGAGCACCTTCCAGGCAAGACTAACCTATAACAGTGACCTCCACCAACAGAACGTGACCCAGCCCGCGTTACAATGACCAACGCCAGCACTGAGCACACCGAGGAACACAGGCTGTCAGCAGTGACACCTACTGGCCACAGGAGGAACGACACTTGTTAACACGATACCGCCTTGCACGTAAGTCAAATCCCACTGCAGCCCTACAAGCTGGTAGCTTCATTTCACATCTCACCTGTCCAAGTTAACAGGCCCTGACACACCGCTGACTATTAACTATGATACTGTCGGTCCTCACCAAAGCAGCTAACAGTTACTCCTCGTTATCAGCTGATCTGTGACGCCCTGCCCCACACCCCCCAGGCATGGCTGGCAAGGGGGGCCTCAGCTCCCCACGGAGCCGCGCTGCTCGCTCTTTCCGAGCACGTCTCCCGCCGCGCCGCCCTGCGCTGGCCCCACTGCCTGACTCGGCTGCCTCCCGCCCCACTGCCGCCCGCTCCGGTTCTGCTCGGACACTGCACCCCCCAGGGGGCGCTCTACCTCCGGCTCCCATCACCTTTGGACTATCAGCCCCTCTTCTAGTCTCCGTGGGCTCATGTGAGGGTCTGAGAGTCTAGTCCTCCTGTCAGAATGTAAGTCCTAGGGAGGCAAGACTAGTCTTCCTACTTCTTCAGGGCCCACCAGAAAAAGCAGGCACGCAATAGGAAAAAAATGCGTCATTACTGAACAATTACATTTAAAATTAATTCAAATTAAATTAAAGTTTAAAAGCAAGCTGCTTTGTTCAACAACCATCTCTTTGGAACAAACTGACAACTGCCACATAGGAGGGAGGTCGGGGGTGCTACGTGAAAACAAGGAAAGGAGAAAGACCGCAAGACCGTCACGGGGACGCAGAGCGCAGCAGAGGGGGGACCGGAGTCGGCGGGCGGGGGCCCGGCTGAGGGGACTGCCGCACGGGCACGTGACTGCCCGGCCACTACGCCGCACACCCAAACTAACATCGAACACCACGTGCAACTGCAAAATCTCGTCCAGTGTTAAAAAATTAAAACCATAAATCACTCTCTCGTTAGAGAACTACTGAAGAACCTAAGTATGAAGCAGCCGTTTTCTTTGCAAGATGCAAGAATCTTATCGTTCCTCCATCAAAATTACTTACAGTGGAGCTCACTGTGGCCGGCCGTTTAGAAAGCCGTGTTATGACTACATCGAGGCCAGAGCACAGCAGAGCTGGTGCACGACACTTAATACCCAGAGTGAAGTCGACACTCACGTTTCAGAGCAATAATTAAAGAGGCCACCGGCCAAGACACCTCGTGCGGATGGCGGACCAGATAAAAGGCCTGGAGGCTGTAGATGAACGGGACCCACACCAAGTCCCCAAAAGCCAGCATGAACCCGAACCCGTCGTGGGTGATGTCCATGGTCGTCAACACCGCTTCCTGGGAGGGCAGAGGAGAGTTTTTAGAAAGTCAGGGGGAGAAAAGGTTCTGTGTTGGAAGTACTCAAATGAAGTACTAGTGTACAGTCAGATTCCTGAGGGCTGTGGGAGGACACCTCGGCAGAAACTAACTGGTCTGGGAGTGAGGAGGGGACTCGGGCTCCCCAGCGTGTGTTTCACAGCAAGTGGCCCTGCGGGCTCCAGCTGCTGTCACTCCGCCCTCCCACTCTGTGGTCCTGGACCGCTGGGGCGCCTCTAACGCCACCACACCTCGGCCCCGGCCGACGCCTCGGCCCAGAACACCCTCCCCCACCCTCAGCGGAGGCCTCCCCGGAGCTGCCCTCCGTGCCCCTCCCTTCACACGCGGCCGCCCTCCCAGCAGCTGGAACAAGTGTGGGACTGGAGTGGGACCACGTCACTCTCCCCACCAGACCAGGGGATAAAACGGGGACGGCACGCACCCCCCCGTCCCCCAGCACACGGCGCACTGCCCGCCCGCCGTGGAGGACGTGTTCAGTGTGTTTGCTGGAGGAAGAACGAGATCGCCAGCTGCCTGGGTCAAGTCCACGTGCACCAGCGTAACTTCTAATCACAATCTTGCTTCCCAGGCAGATTGTCCATGTGCGGAAATGAGCCACCTGGCGACGGGGTGCACTGCCCACGCCGAGCTGACAGAGGCGTGGACGTGCTCTCGGAGATTGGGTCAGCACGGCCAAGCAGCCAGATCACCTCCGGGCCCGGCGCCCCCCGGGGCCGGCTCAGAGCTGCAGCGCACTGCCCTGGCCCAGGGCTCTCGAGCACCGTGGGCGGGGCGTTCCCCTCGCTCCACGTGAGAAGCCGAGGCCCCGAGAGGTCAGGTCACTCACCCACACTCAAAGCCCTCCGACCCCAAGGCCCCTGCTTTTAAAATGAATTACCTCGTTCCAGAGTGCGTCCACCACGTACAAGAGCTGGAAACTGTTCACCAAAATCATTGCCAAGGACGGAGTAGCACGATTCTGGAACTTCATCTCAGCCAGGAGCATCGCCAAGTTAACCACCACCTGAAACACAAGGGGCGAGGGTAGCCCGAGCACCTCCACAGAGGCCCTCGGCCACGGCAGAGCGAAAGACGGCGCCTCCGCAGCCGAGGGGCCCCCTGCAGACGCCACCTGACCGAGTGCGTCACAAGCCCCAACAGGACACACTAAGGACAACACAGTATTCCCACCAAAAATGCCTCGTCCCCTCCAATCATGAGAAAACTCCAGACCAACCCAAATTAGTGCTCTTTCCAAGGGTCAGAGTCGGGAGACACAAGGAGAGGCCAAGCACCTGTGTCCAAAGGACACCAATACAAGATAGTGGCAAAATGCACTGTGGGGCCTGCAGGGGGCGCTGGAACAGCACCTGGTCACCAGTGGGAACACTGGTGCGACTCGAGGCCTGTGGGTTTAGTTCGAAGACTTAAACAGTGTCCCCACGCTGTCCTGGGGCACTAGACCGTGGCTATGCCAGCTGTTACCACCGGGGACGTGGAGTGACAGCTGTAAGGGAACACTCTACTTTTTTGACTCCCATACATCTAAAATATGTTGTTTTTAAAGGGAAGAAAATATGTTTTTCATTACGTGAATGCATCAACTATCATTTTCCTGCCTAAACAGAAGCAACTATAAAAATAAACTCTTCTAAGCTTTAATAACCTCTAACAGGGCATCTTAACCCTCTGGACTTTGTTTATACTAAGAAAATATTTTAACTAGACAGGTTTAGGGAAAGCTGTAATTATTCCTAAAAATATATCACCCACAGCTTAGTTTGAAATTTTCTACAATTCCTTCTAAGTCCAAGACTAATTTGCACTACTGCACTGAAATTTTTTTAAAAAGAAAGAAGAGACATACCCATCCAATCAGTCCAGGACGCAATTCACAGAAGTATTTGAGATCAAAGGTACCAATCCGAGGATTCAATTCACGGCCAATGAAGAAATCATAGATGACATTTCCTGAGAAGGGAAAGGTTCCTATTCAAACAGAGCTTTTTGGAAAAGCTCTATTCCAGTCCCAGTTACGAGGCTTTACAGTCACAATGCAGCCCAGAGGCCTGGCGCGAAGTCTCGGGGGCAGGAGGAGGAGGAGGAGCCGGCGAGGACAGCCAGCTGCTGTGCTGCCCGCCCACCTGGGAGCACCCGGAGCTGCTACACGGGCTCGGCGCCCCTAACTGGGGAAACTACTGGGGTTTTTCTAAAAGTAGACTCACAATTTTTTAAAATAAGCAACGTATTTTTTTTGTTTAATTACTTTAGGTCAGAATCAACCAATTTGAAACCTATCCTTTTTTTTAAAGGATATTTAGTACTTGAGACAAAAAAATAATGCGTATAATGAATTACGACGCCATCAACCTCACTAAAACGTTATTGTACATAAGGCACTGAAATGCCTTACGGTCACAAGCAACTAAAAAAGGAAGAGAAACCAATAGTTAAGTATGAGGAAATATAGTTTCTTCCTTTAACTTAATTTTTCTTTAAGGGTTTTTATCTCTTTATTTGTCCTTATTTCTCTTCATCTCATAAACAGAGGCTGGAAGAGCTTCTCTGTCCGCAAGCCCGCAGGTGGCCGCTGCGGGGCGCCCATGCGCTCACCTGAGCTGGCCGGCGACAGCTGGCTCCAGGGCGCGCGCCGGGCCCGCACGTACAGGTACACACTCAGGGCCACGGAGAACACGAGCGCCGCCAGCGCGAACTGGAGGAAGTGCCGGTACACGTAGTGCAGGTCCGCGCCCCACCACAGCGCGGCCCCGACCGCCGCGGACGTCAGGAGAAAAGCATAGAACCCTTAAGGAAAGGCAAAAACCCAAGTGAGCACAGGGGTGCGTGCGATTCATTCACCCCACTACAATGTACGGCAGTGTCGGGTTCTAAAGTCTCGGCGTGGTTATTTAGGCCAAATACACGCAGAGACATGCGCACACAAGACCTCTGGGGGGTCGTCTTCCATAGACGCCGCACCTCTGAGACAGCTTCCCACGTATCTTACAGGCTGGCTGCAGGTACAAACCATCCTGTCTGCGGGCCCTCGGACAACTGGGGACAACTCCCTGTTTACCGCTCGGCCCAGCCAGCCTGGACAGTTCACGGAGCACAATACTTAAAGGTTCTGAGCTATCCAGTCATCGATTTGAGTCTTTAGAAAAAAATCACCATTTAATCTATACTTCAGTCTTCTTCCGTCAGCGAGAGGTGTTCCTTCCACAACCTCAAAAGAAAAAAATTTTCATTAAAAACTTTAAAAGCACGACACCATCACACATATGTCTTCTAATATTACAGATCTGCACATGCCCGAGGAGGGGGACCACCTTTTAGTGGGGAAACTTAGTAACAAGTTTATTTTTTATTGTGTTTTAGTGATTATGCTATTACCGTTGTCCCAATCCCCCACCCACCTTGGCAGACCCTCTGACCAGCGAGCCCACCTTCGGGGACCGTCTGGAAGACAACCCAGCCACCCTCCTCAGTGTGCGAGGCTGTTGCAGGAGCCACCCCCAACCGCCCCACGAGACTAAACAGCTCTAATGACTCCTGCATTTCCTAACCTCTAGCTCAAAAAGCTTTAACAACTTTAGCTGCACTGTCTTGGATTGTCGAGGTCCTTTTTTTTCTTTTTTCTTTTTATTCGTAAACAGTGTGATTTTATGGTGAGGTCTTTTTCAGCTGGGCTCCACCCACTCACCCCTCTACTCTGGCCGCAAACCGGCTGCTGCAGCATGGACACTCACATACTGACCTGCTCTGCCATCTGCACATACACACTCACCCACTTAGTCCTGTCATGTGACCCTTCTTCCTCCAAGAAGAGACTGAGCACTTCCTGGATGGGACCCCTCACCTCTACACAGAACACCCGTGGGGCGCCCACTCAGCAGGCAATGGAGAAACACACCCCTTGGGCGGGGTGAGTTCAAGTCCAAGACCTCTGGTCAATAGCAGTCACATTTCACTACCCAAAACCACCATTCAGAATGTTGCAAGTCATTCTGAACAGTCAGCTACTGATATGGCATCATTTTTCTTGGGCTAAACTACTTTACCCTTGCATTAGCTATGAAAGGGAACCTGGGAGAAATTCAATACCTTTTGAGATCACAGGATTAGCAAGACCCCACATGCTAATTCCAAACGATCCTAATTTATTACAGGTCTCACATAATACTGTGCTGGGTTTTCCGTTTGTGTCTGCCTCTCTCCCTCGCTCTCTCTCTGTATATAATTATATATATATATATATATCCACAGACACATTTAACCATCAAACCTGCTTTTCATCATGAATATTATCTAGTTTGATACTAACTTGCCTTACCTAAATTAACCTGAATTGCCGATTTCTACAACAGAGGCTGCCCATAAGAACGCCTGACTGTCCACAGCACAAGAATCCTCGCACAGCCAGTCGTGTGGTGGCGAGATTCCAAAGTGTTTCCCGTCTGCAGCTCTACCGCCCTCTCACTGTGAGGGGTGTTCGCCGTGCCTAGCGAACCCGATCCTTTGGTTCACAGGCAGCTGGTACACTTGCAAAGCCCTAAGAATAAGATCTCCAAATGAATTATTTATTGCTTAAGGAATCTCATGTTCCTTTAAATAATCCAAGTATTCTACCAAAAGGAGAAAAAAAACTACCTCAGCAATGAGGACAAATTTGAGACATTTCACGAGTCTGAAAGAACAGAAAATGTTCCTGACAACAAATTTCTGAAAATTAGAAAAATTAGAAAATTTTTCACTTAAAAATATATTAAGTGAAAGAGGCAGACTAAATCCATTGAGTTCAGTAGCTTACCAACTGATCATTTTAAATTCCGTATCTGAAATGACATATACTCCAGGGGAAATTTTTTTTCCAGCAACCTCTACCACTAGGCTATTTTGCACAATAGTTCATTCTTTTCTTTTTGGTTTGGAAAGTTACACAAGCAACCTCAATCAGATTTTTAAAGTGCCACTTACAGGATTCAAGAGTAAAGGCTTAACAATCTAAGTTTGGGTAGTCATGACCAAGGACAGCTTTTAACCTTAAACCTGTGAAATTCTCTTACATAAACATGGAGAGTTCTCACTCTGCACCCTCCAACCACAAAAACTTACCCTCCCGATTGGCAGTAAGTAGAACAGAGCCTGAACAAAAAACCAGAGGAGGTAGACCCCGAACACTCTGGTTTCCCATAAACCATTCAGAGCTGGCAAAGGAGGCGGGAAATTCAGAAGACTGGGCTCCTTCTGTTTGCACTGCAACAGCAACAGGAAGAGGAAGGCGGGCAGGCCCAGCATGATAAGAAACACACCTGCAGACAATCAGGGAACGTTCAAGGCTCAGCTTTCAATCCAGGGTTTCCCGCCCCCCTCCCCCAAGAATCGCTGGGTTTTTTAAGGTCAGAACTCAACTCTGGCTGGCTGTTGGACACCACTTTCCGGTGTCCCATCAGAGAGCCCTCGTCTCTGCCTGTCGTGTCCAGTGGGCAAGCAGCGTGGCCATTCAAGCAGTGAGACCACGGCCGTCCGGCACTGAACGACTGACGTTCCCACTCCAGCCACTGTGGAGCAGACACGCTGAACCTCCAGCAAACGAGGGTGCACGGGCTTGCAGTGACGCCGGACGCCATCCTTCACAGGCCGGCTGGCCGGCAGCTTACCAAACCAAAGCAATTAAGCCCCGCCGGATTTTGAACCATTTGGCCACGAAGTGTTTGCCTTTACTAGCTCATAAAATTCCACCAGCGCCGCCCGCTTAATAACTCCGAGCCTCGGAACACGTCGGGTCTCGGGTCTCCGACGCTCATCGCCAACCCGTCCAGCCGGCAGGGCAGACGCCGCGACCCCGTTTCACCCCGTTTCACGTCTGCAGCGCCCTCCCGCCGCTCCCGCCGAAGGCCCGCCCCGCACCGCAGGTCCGAGGACCTGCGGATTCCCCGCCCCTGATCGTTCACATCGACCTTCCTTTGGTCACCTTGTTGATCCAACTCTAACGATAGATTGCTGGGAGTGTGGTTTACAGCCACTCCGGCACCTTTCTACTCTATTACAATCCTCACACCCGCTCCCGCCCCAGGCCCCCGCCCGGCTCGCCAGCTGCCCGCTCCCGCCCGGAACCGCGCAGAGGAGGCCTTTCCCACTCGCTCACTTCGCTGCTGCGGCGCCCGCCCGCCCTGAGCCCGGTTCGGACACCTACCGGGTACCCCTCCGAACTCCAAGTCCTTCGTCTGTGCGGCTGGCACTTCAAAGGTTCTCAATGATGCAGGTCTTTTTGTAACAACTTCTTCTTCCTGAAATTCTATTTCTTTTACCTTGTTCTCTTCCCCTCTTGGACGAAGGCTATACTGTGTAGATACATAACTACTGTCTTGTGACAAATGGAATTTCTCCTAGTTAAAAAATAAAAACTGTTAAATATCTGTAATCAATAATTATCATTAATGCTTACATTAACCAATCCAGCATCTTAATATAGCCATATGCTAAGAATAGATTTGTTAAGTTACAGTCAGTCTTAAATGAAGAACAAATTTTTGGAATCAATTATAACAAGTATTATGGTTTTCAATGTGCTTCCTTAGCGAAAGTCACTTTAACAAACAAAACAATGACTGGTGTGGCTCAGTGGACTCAGCGCCAGCCTTTGAACCAAAGGGTCGCTGGTTCAATTCCCAGTCAGGGCACATGCCTGGGTTGCAGGCCAGGTCCCCAGTAGGGGGAGTACAAGAGGCAACCACACATTGATGTTTCCCTCCCGTTCTTTCTCCCTCCCTTTCCCTCTCTAAAAATAAATAAATAAAGTCTGTAGAGGAAAACAACGACCCGAGATGAAAATGAACGCTGTCATACCTGCGGGGTTTTGTGAGGTATGTCATTCCTCTCTGTGTGTTCAGGTTCCCCGTTGTACCTGCTGATGCTGTTTCCAAATGGTTTCTAAATGGAAGAATAGAAAGCATTTTAACCATGTGAATCATAACTTACTAAAAAGGAACCCAATGGTAAATCTTTACTATTCTGCTATCAAGCAACAAAGAAAGCTGAAGATTTTCACAGCTTTAATTTTGAAGAATTCAAGATAGTTTTGTTAAAAATAAAAAGGTATAAAATTAACTAAAATTTCCCAATTTATAAAAGATTGTATTTTATAGTATAGATTCCACATAAGTTCTTTCATCTTCTAAACATAATTACACTGAGCCCTGGCTGGTGTGGCTCAGTGGATTGAGTGCCAGCCTACGAACCAAAGGGTCACCAGTTCAATTCCCAGTCAGGGCACATGCCTGGGTTGTAGCACGGGTCCCCAGTAGGGGGCGCGCAAGAGGCAACCACACATTGATGCTTTTCTCCTCTCCCTCTCTCCCTCCCCTCCCCACTCTAAAATTAAATAAAATCTTTAAAAATAAATAAACATTATTACACTGAGTGTTAAAATTTCCTTGTTCAATGACAGCTATTTTAATAGTATTTGCTATGTGAGTTAGAGAAGTAAAAAATAGTCAATCAGTTCATTAACTGGTTAAAAAAACAAAAAACAACAAGACATTCACTGCCCCAAAATAGCCCATAACGGGAACTTAAGAAATAATGGATACTCATACAGTATTACTAGTGACTCGCGCACTGATAGCTTTCTCAATTGCATGCTGCCTGGTTTCTGTGTAACCTTCAGTGTCCTGACTCAGTCTCCTTTCCTGCACGTGCATTCCCTTTAGGCAGCGCACGGGTGTGCTTCGGAAAGTGAACAGGGAAAGTGCCTCAGCTCAAAGTTTTTCCAGGCAAACACGGCTCTAATCTATCCCTTTGCTCCTTTAAATGTCACTGACAACTTATAACAAGTTATAATGCTAATGAGCCAAGAGGAGGAAAACGAAGGAAACTCCCCAGTCCGTTTCCGGCGGGCTGGTTCAGTGCGCTGGAGCGTCAGCCGCACACCAAAGGGTGCTGAGTCCTGTCCCCTGTTGGGGCGTGTGTGGGAAGCAGCCGATCAAGGTTTCTCTCTCCCATCAGTCTGCTCTACCCATCTGACCTGGCAGCTCCACTCGTGAGAATTTATCCTAAAGAAATATCAGATGTTAACCCTGGCTGGCGTAGCTCAGTGGATTGAGCGCAGGCTGCGAACCAAAGTGTCGCAGGTTCGATTCCCAGTCAGGGTACGTGCCTGGGTTGCAGTCCATGACCCCCAGCAACCGCACGCACATTGATGTTTCTCTTTCTCTTTCTCCCTCCCTTCCCTTTCTAAAAATAAAATAAAATAAAATCTTTTTTAAAAAGTACTTTAAAAAACACATTAAACAGCATTCTTGCAATTTAAATTGTTTTTCATTGCATTTAAAAGTATTGTATCTTCTATTCTTGCAAACATTCACTTTTTACGAAATCTTACAAAGTCGTTACCTTAGACTTGAAGTTGCAACTGGCACCCGAGTGTTTTTACCTGCACATACTGTAAGGACACACGTTCCCAAAGGGGAAGGCTGTGTTTGGCACAGACTAAACACTGTGCAAGGATAAAGATCTCCCAAAGACCGGCCACGTACCAACACCAGCGGGGTCAACTTCACTTCCAGCACTTCCTTCCTTATTTCCGTAATGTCGGCACGGTGCGCGGCAGACGCAGGCTGGTGGGAGCTTTTAGGTGGTCGGCCGGGGGATCGGCCAGGGGAACGGCGGGCAGGGGATCGGCGGCCGGGGGATCGGCGGCCGGGGGATCGGGACCGTGACCGTGACCTCGACGGATTCCCTCGGCGTCTGGAGGGAGAACTGGAAGTTGAGCCACTTTTCCTTTGCCTGAAGGAAGCTAAAGGCTGGAGAGGAGCAGAAGGCAGGGTTTTAGCACAAGTCCTAACACACACACGCACAGAGCCGAATCTCAGGAGGGTAGCAGGGGCGGCCATTGGTACCGTCAACTCTAGCACCAGCCCGGGAAACCCTGGCACCTGAGGGTCTCCCCGATGAGGCCAGGGAGCAAGGCTGCTGCAACAGGGGTCCCCCCCAGGGGGACACGTGCAGCCCCCCCACTCCCAGTTCTCCTCTGGCGGCACTGCCACGAAACGACTGCACCTGAACCAGCTAGCTGCGCGTGTTCCCAGGAACATGCACGGGATGAGTCACCAGTAACACTGGTTAAAGCTGAGACGATGGGACCAGAGAAATCTGCACAGAAACGCTAAGAACAAGAAACTGAGCCCCACAGTTGCACTCTGGACAAAACACACAGGCAGGTCCTGGACACGAGTACAGCTTGGATTAATGCTGAATGGCTTTGTGTTTTTTCACTGCGTGCAAACAAGACAGACGGAAGAACGAGACTGTGTGACACGCGAGCGTTGTCTGAAATCCGAATTTCGGTGTCCACAAATAAAGCTGGACTGGAACACAGCCCTGCCCGCGGCCTCCCAGGCTGCCTGGGGCTGCCCTGGCGCTGCAGAAACAGGACGGCCCATACACCCCAGAACACTGACTATCTGTCCCTTCATTCAAACTCTCGCCGGCCCTGGCCAGCACGCTGCCCCTGGGATCCGCAGCCTATGGTTCAAAGACCAGTTGTTACTGATCTGAAACAGAGCGGAATTACAAACAGGTGTGTAGGAAGGTCTGCAGCATTTTGACAAAGAAATTTTATGTCTGTTGAATCTGATAATAAAAAACTAGGACTTCTTGTGCACATCTTTTTCGTCTGTCATTTTTATGGTATTTTTTGCATGAGTACTTGCACACCACAGGTCAGATATTTGAAAGCCCAGCCCTCACCGGACTCCAATCTAATTACTGTCATTCTCCTGATTGAATCCTCGAGGTCCGGGATGAGGCCCAAACCCTCCAGGTCTGACCCCCGCCCCCCGCTGGCCCTCGCCCACCACACCCCTGCAGCACCGGCCGGCCGTGCTCCCCCAGCGCCCAGCCTTGGGCATGCTGCCCTCTGCGGAAGCCGCCTCCCGGCACCTGGGTGTCACCTCCTGGGCCTCAGCGCTCAGCGCTGGTGCCACCACTTCTAAAAGCCTCCCCCGAAACCCAGGGCCCTCCCACAGCCACGACACACTTCCGTCACACAGCGCATTAAGCCGGGAACGTGACCGCTGTCAGTGCCACGTCTTCCCCAGTCCCCTGGGGACTGCTCAGGAACAGGGCACGGTGCCCCGTTCCCGCTTCCAGGAGCCAAAACCACTACTGGCCCCGAAGCAGGAGCGTGACCCTGTGCCTGCACACGGCGCCAGAGTAACTGCTCTGCCTGGAAAACCACCCCCGCAGTCACCACACACTTACCACGGGCACGCGCTGCCCGCCCAAGGAGCCCCCCTCACCTTGATGTCGCTCTCCTTGAGCTCGAGTTCCGTCCCGTCCTTGTACTTCACGGTGTACAGCTGCGAGCCGCTGTCGTGGCTCAGGATCTCCACCTCGTAGTAGAGCGAACTCCCTGGCCAGCGCCCCCGCACCACCTCGCCATCGGCAAATTTCCGACTTGGCATTTTCCAAAATCAGTCTGAATAGTGTTCGGGGGGCGAAAAAAGGAGTCAATGCAATATCCACTTACTTTTGTCTTTTTTCATAGACTGAGCACTAAAATGCAACTTGCCAAACTTTTAACTGGTCAGGATTTTAGAGCCAAAAGACCTACGGAGGAGCAGTGTGCAGCCCCTTATTCTAAAGGGGAGCAACTAAAGCTTAACAGGATGCGAGCTGTTTTGCCCAAGGGCATGGAAACAGCCAGCGGGAAGTGGCAGAGTCGGGACAACACAGAGGTTGTTCCTTCTGCCAAACGTGTCCCGTCAGGAATCACTTCACCAGGGACGGCTGGGTCGCTGTGGCACATGTGACACTAAGAGTAATGATGACGACTCACCGAGTGGCGCCTATGCAACGCAAGGCCACCTAATGTGAGCACATGTCTTGCTAATCAACAAGAAACAATCTCCCAAAGATTCGTTTTCTTTTCTTTTCTTTTCTTTTTTTTTAGGAAGCAGCTGTCTTTTTTTTTTTTTAAGATTTTATTTATTTATTTTTAGAGAGGGGAGGGAGGGAGGGAGAGAGAGAGAGAGAGACACATCAATGTGCGATTGCTGGGGGTCATGGCCTGCAACCCAGGAATGTACCCTGGCTGGGAATCGCACCTGGGACACTTTGGTTCCCAGCCCGCGCTCAATCCACTGAGCTATGCCAGCCAGGGGCAAAGATTCGTTTTCTGATTTGTACATTTGCACCTAACCTTACAAAGCCTTTAAAAATAAATTAAAATTTTTTCAGTGGAACAGAACAGAGAGCCCAGAAATAAACCCACACCTTTATAGTCAATTAATATTCGCCAGAGGAAGCAAGCACATACAATGGGCTAAAGATAGTGTATTCAAAAAATGATGTCAGGAAAACTGGACAGGTACGTGCAGAAAAAATGAAACTAGACCACCTTCTTATACCACACACAAGAATAAATTCAAAATGGATTAAAGACTTAAATGTTAGACCCGAAACCATAAAAATCCTAGAAGAAAACACAGGCAGCAAAATCTCGGACAAAGCCTGTTGCAATATATTTTATCAGATGTATCTCCCCAGACAAGGGAAACAAAAGAAAAAGTAAATGGGATTACATCGAACTAACAAGTTTTTGCACAGCCAAGGAAACCATCGACAAAGCAAAAAGACAACCCACAGAAAAGATTGTTCTCTGACACATCTGATAAGGGGTTAATATCCAAAGTTTATAAAGAACTTACAAAACTCCAAAAAAAAACAAACAATCCAATTAACAATAGGCAGAGGACCTGACTAGACACTTCTGCAAAAAGAGGACATACAGAGGACCCACAGACACATGAAAAGATGCTCAGCATCAGTAATCATCAGAGAAATGCAAATTAAAACCACAACGAGATACCACCTCACACCTGTCAGAATGGCTGTCATCAATACATCAACAAACAACAAGTGTTGGCGAGGGTGAGGAGAAAGGGGAAAACTTTTGCACCGTTGGTGGGAATGCAGACTGGTGCAGCCACTGTGGAAAGCAGTATGGAGATACCTCAAAAAATTAAAAATCGATCTGTCTTTTGACCCAGAGATCCCACTTCTGGGAATATAGCCGAAGGAACCCAAAACACTAATTCGGAAGAACGTAAGCACCCCTGTGTTCACTGCGGCGTTATTTACAACCTCCAAGATGTGGAAGCATCCCGAGTGCCCATCAGTAGAGGAGTGGCTAGAACAGCTCTGGGACATTTATACAAGGATACTGCTCGGTCGTAAAAAAGAAGAGAGGTTTACCCTCTGCGACAGCATGGGTGGGCCTGGAGAACATCATGCTAAGTGAGATAAGCCAGTCAGAGAAAGACAAATACCATATGAATCACTCACGTGTGGAATCTAATGAACAGAGTGAACTAACAGGCAAAACAGAGACAGGCTCATAGATGGAGAGCAGGATGACGGGGGGCGGGTAGTATAGAGTGGAGGGGTGGAGCAAAAAGGAAGAAGGACCCACGGACATGGACAGCAGTGTGGGGATTGTTGAAGGGGGAGGGGACAGAGGTGTAAGAAGACTAATAGTGATGGAAAAAAGAACAATAAAAAATAATAATGTATTTAATGTTTAACAAACAACCTTCATTTAAAACAACAAACTATGAAACAGACTAGTCTAGAAAAATCAAGGATGTATAATTCACATTACTATAACCCACCAACAGGGAGAGAAAAAGTCCAAATCTACAATGAATAGCAGATTTGGGGTTCCTTCATAAGGCTTTCAAGTCCCAAATGCACACCCAGGGACTCGGCCGATCTCACACCTGGGCTAGCATGGACCTGGCCTTCACCCCCGGTTACAACATTCTTTGCCACCAAACCAAAACGTGGCCCACAAACCCTTGCATAAACGACATTCTAAGAAGCCACAAGCAACCCACAGGAATTGCTACTGACAAGAGGCCTGTCCATGACCCTTTCTCAAATGTCAGCTGACTGCTGGGTGCTCCAGCTACTAGGGAGCAATGCTTCTGCCCCCACTGAGGCAGAGTCGCGAATCCCCAGGACAGGTGCAGTGCCCCTGACCTGCACCACCACCTTGCCTGGCCGGGCTTGGGCCACCGAGCAGGCAGCACGATGACAAGGCCCTCCCTCCGTCGCCTGTGTATCATCTGGGCATTAAGGTACACATTCCTTACCCAGCTCCTGCCGAGAGCTGGTCACACGATGACGACAATGTTTAAGAACGTGTGACCACTCTGTGGAATTAGGAAAGGAGAAAGTTACACTACCCCACCCCTCCCCGCCAAAAAAACATCTTTCATAAGCACCACATTTCTTCAGGTAATCACCCGAGATAAAACTTAATAAGCTTCACTCGTTCAGAAAAAAACAGCGGCAAGGCTGGGAGATGAAAGGATACACGACTAGTCATCTGGTGAAGGAGACGGCTTTCTCCCCGGCACCCACGGAGATAGCATCGCGGGCGTAATGAATGATGGGTCTGGGCCTGGAGTTCCAGGCAGAGGGGCCTGGAAGCTCTGGGGATGAAGTCACACCTGCCTGAGCGGGGCTGGGGGGGCGGAGGGCAGTGGACACCTTGGGACACGGCGGAAGGGCACGAAAAAGGAAGGTGACAAACGCAAGCCTTGCCTGTTTCAACACGGAGCCCGAGCCTCCAAGTTCTAAGAAAGAGGAAGGAAACGGGCTCCCCCCTCTCCTCTGTGCCCCCCTTTCTTCCTGGACCCCCTCAAATCAAGCCCCTGTTACTGAGGCCAGTTCTCCCCTGTCAGCCAGCCAGGGTGGGAAGAGGACAAGTCCATCCTCCTGCACCAGGATGCCATCCGAGTTTCAAACAACTCTTCACAAACTTCTGAAACACAGTCTGAGGCGCCTCCTGGATTTTTCCAAAGCGCCCTCGGGCAGATTCTGTCCGTACCTTTCCAAAACTTGGCATCTTTCTGTAACCAACTCAATATTTGGGGTTAAACAAATTCAGACGTCTAGTGGGTATCTGTTAGGTCTCTAAGCTCAATTTTTTAAAAGCCTAACGAAGAACTGGGACCTGAGAGCAATGCTGCACACGGTGGTTGAAAGAGAAAAAACAAACCAGCTCTGCTGAGAAAGCCACTATCTTACATAAGAATGCTGCAAACGATGGAGCCAGTAACATTACGTCCACCCCCCCTTCCCATAAGATCCGAGAGCCACAGCCACGTGGGATAACACTGTGCAATCACATCCTCCTAATAGAATCCTGGGCGGGAGCGAAGTGGCCAAGAGAGGACCCAAGTGCATCTCATCATGGACTCCCTTACTGGAGGCAAGAGACACACAAAGAGGCTTCCCTTGGGAAGTTTTAGCCAAGGGTGGAAACAAAAATTTGCTTCCTGAACAATGTCCTCCTTCCCCGTAAGCGGCAGAAACAGGGGGTCTCGGGCTTTTCTCCATTAAGCTGCATGCTTGGGAACACACCAGAATCCTCACACGCCTGGCTCCAGTGTTACTCTATCCACACAAGAGAAAACCGCTATTCTCTGCCCATCTGTGTCATACTGAGGGTCTCTGGCCATCTTTCCTTCACTTTTTCAAATTAGTCTAATTGTGGCAGAAAACAGGAAGCCCAAATGAAGTCTGACCGCTCTTCTCCAACACCTGAACCCAGGTCTGGCCTACATTTCTGCAGGTAAACCACCAGCGGGATCGCTGCCCTTGCTCAGGATGCACGAGCAGGACGGCCTGACGCTCCCGCTAAGAAGTAAAAAGTCAGGTAAGGCTCGTTCCCCTCCTACTCACTCTTCTCCCTCCTCTCTAGACGGCTCTCAGAAAGAAAAACGAGTGGGTTTGGGGCTCAGTCTAATTCAGGGTCCCGCCGCTCGCCTCCCAAAGCCCTTCCCGGTCCTTCACGGCAGTTGCAACAAAGCGCGGTTACAGATGTGCTCGCGTTCATTTGCCAGGACCCTGAGGGCTGGGACTAGCTCGGCTCTGGCCACGCCTCACATAGCAGGTGAGCAAGCCCACGAGCTCCGGGCTGAACTCTTTGATCGTCCAAGCGCTGTCCAGTGTATCCACGGGGTCGTTCTGAGTATCCCAGCCTGACTTCCCAGCGGCTCATACAACCAAGTGGGTGAAGTGCTTAGAAACAGGCCCTCTGCGATCAAGTGCTTACCGAGGGCCCCTTGAGACTGCTAGCGGGGGTCATTAGGAAGCATTTTTAAATGCCTTAACACAGGACTGAGCTTCAGTAGGAGCACGCCAGCCTTGCCCAACGATCCGTTTTGGGGTGTGCGCAAACACCAGGCGAGAAAATGCAACACATGCAAGCGAGCAAGCCTGCAGTCCGCACTGGAGAGCCACCGAAGTGAGACGGGCACGACCCTCAAGGCCAGTGACAACCAGTGCGAATTAGTCAACTTTGCAACCCCACTTCCCCGTCCGCCAGGCTGCCGCGCCTTTCCTGCTTCCCCACCCGCACAACCCACGAAGCTACCCAGCTATCTGTCAAAAAGGCGCAAGAAACTGACCCCGGAGGGCGGGGGCTGCAGGGCGGGGACAAAGGGGCCGGGGAGGGTCACCGATCCCCAAATCTCTCTAACCAACAACACTTTACAGCGACGCGGCGCGTCCAAAATGGAGGGAAACGTCCCCAATTTAAAACCAGCAGCTCCATTTCCGCAGCTGGGCCGCGCGCAGTTCAAGCCCCGCCAGCTGCGGCCCCGACCGACCCGGAGGAGGGGAGGGCGAGGCCACGGCACCAGGCCCGGCGCCCCGGGACCCCAGCCCACAAGCCGCGCCCCGCCGCGGCCCTCCCCCGCCCGCCCCCCGGGAGGCCGCACCGCAGGCAGCGGGCGGGGGTGGGGGCGCTCACCTACGCCAGACTCCGGCGGGGACTCTAACGACTCTGGGAGAGTTGCCGAGCTGCTACCCGGTGGCTGTTCCACACGCGCGACTCCGCCCCGCCGCGTTCTCGCGCTCTCGGGCCCTAGCGTCCGGCGATCCCGCCTCCCGGGCGCGCGCTTCCCCGCCGCCCCACCCCCTCCTCGCCCCGCCCCCTGAGCGGGCCTCCAAGGCTCCCATTGGCTCCCCGGTCTTTTGAATCGTCCCTGGCGCTGTCGATTGGTCGTGTGCCGTGGCGCGTCCGTCCCGCCCCGCCCCGCCAGCGAGGCCCCAGATCTGCCCAACAGGATCCGTGTGGGTCGGCCCCAGCAGGGTAGCTCTTGGGGCGTCTGCAGGCAGGCTCCTTATCTCTGACACCCAGGAACCCTCACGCTCCCCGCTCTTTCCCTCCTGACACCCGCCAGTTGCCTAGCGATGCGCAGTGAGAGTTTGGGGTGCGAGGTGGCTTGGCGAAAGAGATCAGAAAAAAATACAAGGAAAATAAACTCTTATAGTGATAACTATAGTTGATCATATAGTGATCAACCGTATGAGAGCCAAGGTGGTTCTTGCAAAAAAAGCCATGAGTGCTTTCCTTACGGTGTTAAAATCTTCCAGAAGCCTCCGGGCCAAGCAGTGGCTCTGAAGGCGATCTGGGGCTTCTTTGTCTTGGCAATGGCTGCTGTGCCCGGATAGAAACCGATCTGGGGGCCAGAGGGCGGGAGGAGATTGGTAAGAACTGTCCTAGGCTCCCCTACAGCTCGCAGAGTTCCTGCGACTGCTGTGAAGAGGGAGATTAATATTAAGAAGAGGTCCTATCGAGATACAGTAGAGAAAACTCAGTAACAGCATGGCACAGGAAATTCTGTGCCTCCTTACACACTGAGATACCATTTAACCTGCTTCCCACAAGTCTGGTTGCAACACTGGCCTCCAAAACGCTGAATCATTACCTGGTATGGATCCTAACCCTTTTTTTCTTCTACAAGTTATCATTATGGGTTAGTTGGTTTCCTTCCTTTGAGGTGGAGAGTTTAAAGCAGTCCAATTGAAGTTCCCCATTTTGTAGTGTGGTTTTAATCAAAGTATTTCTTAACCTGATGACCAGGTTAACCTAATTTACTAGGTAAACTTCAGTGAATTTCCATCTTGGAAGCACTATCCATTAAATTATAATAATATATAGGCTTTTCATTGATGGTCTTGCTTCAGGTGCAAGAGCTCTCATTTTCTCAGTTATAACAACAAAGCAACCAGGTTTACTCAAAAAAACAAACTAGTACATTGAGTTTTCTTGGCCATTCAGTCATTCACCTCCACTGTGAATGAGTTCATCGGAGCCTCTCTGGGGAGTAAGTTCGGACATGGGATTGGTCCTGGATGGAAATCTGAGCTGCAGAAACGCACACTGCACTTCAAAGTCAGAAAAGCAACCTGATTTTTGGCCAAGCCCTGAGTTCGAGTTGCCTTAACCCTTAAGGTAAGACAATATTAGCCCTACCACATTTTGTGTGGCAAATGACAAAGAAATGAAAACACCACACCAGGTCCACGGGGACCTAAAATGGTTATTCTCCCTAAAAGCCAAGCGGGGCTTCCCCCTTTTCTCATGTATCCTATACCCAGTGTGCGGATTCCACTGGACTCCCCGCGAGAAACACGTTCCCTGCATCTCTCCCTTGATGAAACCAAGGAAGATGCATTTTTTGGTAAAATAAATAAACTTCATTTTAAAGATCAGTTTTATAAAATCTCATCGACAAAATGAGGTTAGGCCCTGGCTGGCGTAGCTCAGTGGATTGAGCGCGGGCTGCGAACCAAGCATCGCAGGTTCGATTCCCAGTCAGGGCACACGCCTGGGTTGCAGGCCACGGCCCCCAGCAACCGCACATTGATGTTTCTCTCTCTCTCTCTCCCTCTCCCCCTCCCTTCCCTCTCTAAAAATAAATAAAATCTTTTTTTAAAAATGAGGTTAATTTTTACCTCATTTTAAAAAATGAGGTTTACACCTTTTTTTAAAAAAGGTGTAAATCACTAGAATCATAGAATCATCTTAGTTCACATGCTACCTTATATATTTGGTCCACTAAAGACATTTTTAAATGTCTTTAAAATGTCTTTCAAAATCAGCTGATTTTGAAAGCAGAGGCGCTGAACCATAATTATTGTTTATTTCTGGAGGGAAATATATTGGGGAAAATCAGATGGATATCTAGGCTACCGCCTCAATAAAGGAGCTGTTAGTATTTTCCTCTCCTTTTTCTTTTTTAAGGGCTACTAGAGAGTGTGCAGACTGGAGAGTGGAGAATTTCCAGGTTTGATTCTCAGAAGGATGCTGTCAACCACAAGTAGCAAGTTGTGGATTGTCCGGATATATAAAATAGAAGTCGCTTTAAGAGGCATGTCTTTCGTTAATGCGGGCTTGAGAAGCACGGCCCCTCCCCCTTTATAAGGAAAGTGAGAAGTGATGGAGGAGGAAAGGCCTTCAGCCCCGTCACTGAAGCAGCCAAAAGTCACGCGTGGGGCCAAGAAGCCTCACCTATGAAATACAGGAACCACAGTGTAATGCCGTCCATCATCTGGCTCCGCTTCCCACAGGCGATCAGAACTGAAACACCTTTTAGGAAGCAGGTAAAACTTCACGTGGCAGGAAGTCCAGTTGAACCCGTGTAGCTCTGCTTCATAAGGAACAAACTTGTATACTCCCGGAGCTACAGAAAGTGTCCCCAGGGCCCTCTGATCCAAACGCATTTCTACAGATGTTGTTGAATCTCAGCGGTTTCTGCTCCCAGAGGAGTGGAGCTCCTGATCATGAGCACAGTGGGATAACGACATCTGTCTCCTTAACACACTTTTCCGTTTTCATTGGAAACACGGACACTTAGGAATATTTGCAGAACGTACTTACTTCACCTTTCTTCTCAATATTTGACTATCAGAGGCCAGAAAGTGAAACTCTTTGGGCAGACAGGGCTAAGTGCTGCTATCCTCGGTTGCAGCAGCGGGAGAACTTAAAAGAGGCGGTCGCTCGTACCCTAACACGTTGGGAAATGTGATAAGGCAAAGCGGCAGCAGGTTCTGGTGGGATAACCATAGAACTGCAATAGCTAACCTTTACTTCTTAAGCTCTTACCTCTGCAGACCGCTGCTCTAAGCACGTCAGGGATCTTGATTTATTTAACCCAGGGGACAGGGCTGGGCCGGGGGCACTGCGGCCCCTTCCCAGCGCTCCCTCTCAGCCCTTCCCTGGCACCTTCTGCCTGGATTCCCTCATCTGTCAAATGGGGACAGTAACTGTTCCTACCCTGCAAGGCAGCTGTGGTAGTTCAATGTAATTATTCAAGTTAGTACAACTTCATTTTATTTCAAGTTCATTAAGTCACTGTTTTTAATCAACTGTAAGTAGATTAAAGGGTGTTTTCAATAGCAGATGTGTCGAGACTTTTTAAAACCTGTGCTGTTTTTCATCTGTGTCTCTAAACGCTTTGAATCCTCCTGTAACGCGTGTGTGAATATATAAGACTGTCATATCTGCGGTCTTTGCATCCACTCTGTTCTAACTGAAAAATCTAAGCCTGCTTGCTGGGTGACTCTTTTTTTTTCCTAATCCTTACCTGAGAACATTTTTTCCCCATTGCTTTTAGAGAGAGAGGAAGGGAGAGACAGAAACATCGATGCAAGAGAGAAACATGGATTGGCTGCCCCCCGTATGCGCCCAGACCAGGGATCATACACACCCGGACCGGGGACTGAACCCACAACCCAGGCATGTGCCCTGACCAGGAATTGGTTACAGATGACGCTGCAACCAACTGAGCCACACTGGCCAGGGCTACTGGGTTAATCTTAAAACTTAAAGACCCTTCGTTGAGAGAGTAATTATTATTTAAGCTTATATTGTCATTAGCATTTACTGATTATTAACTGTTAAAAAAACCCCTACATTCTGTTTGGGTGTGTTGGGGGTCCTGAAATACCCACAGGAAAAAATCTAAATTCCGTGGCCTTCAGAAACTTGCTCTATAGACCTTTGCCAGGCTAGGCTCGCTCTGCTCCTTTTTATCTTCATCTTTCCTGCCCTACCCACTGCGCCCTCCAGGTCTGCCAAGCTCCTGGTGGGGCCCCAGACAAGCCTCTTTCTTTCGCCCCTTCCCCTGAGAGTGGCCGTCCTTGCCCCCACCCGCAGGCTCCCCCTGCCTCTCCACCCGCACGTCACTTCCCACATACACCTGTCACCGCCGAGCATGCTCTGGGCATCCGCTCCCACGGCAGGCTGGCAGCATATTCTATCTCTTTTTGTGTCTCTCCCCATTAAATAAATAAAGGATTGGCTCAGCATGAAACAGCGGCAGACTATGGTAAACTCTCTGCTTCTTGAGCTGGTTATACAGCTTTTACGAGGCTGGGTTAAGGCAAGAAGCAATGGAGCTCCCCCTGGCACTAATTGTTCCCTCTAAGTAGGGTGGGCGGAGAAATTTTCTACCTTGGGGGCAGGCTCCACTGCCCCCCCCATTGTCTCCTTGCCCCCTGCCACGGTTGCGGCTCCCCCCCGCCCCCGTCGCCGTCCACTGCACTGAACAGCCTTCGCTCGGCCTTGGTCTTGGGCTCTGCCGGCCCCCCCCCCCCACCTCTCCCTTCACCCAGAACAGGTAAAGAAATGTTTCTTTTTCAAACCTACTGCTCACGTCCTGTGGGGCTCAGACACAACACTGACTGGCGCCCGGTTTGCGTTGGCACAGCTGCTGAACGGCGAGTCCCCGAGGGCAGCCCCGCCCCCCGCCCCCCGCCCCCTCCCCCCTCCCCCCCACAGCTCGCACTCAGAAGCAGCTGTGGTTCACAGGCCGGCGACGTTTATGTAACGTGTAATTACCACGTTGTTTCTCACTTCCTGCCGAAGCTGAGGCTTAGCCCATCGGTGCTGATTTTAGCTCTTCGGGGCCGTGTCTCTAAACCTGCGCCCTGCCCTGGCCCTTTACGAAAAGTGGGGAGCACCTGTGGTTGGCGTCGGGGCGGTGGAGAGAGGGAAGAAATGGGGGGGACTGGAATGTCCACTGAGGCCCTGCTGCGGGGAAAGCACTTTCCACTCTTCACCTTATTTATGACTCAAATCAACTCACGGACACAC